CGTATACATTGGTGCCGATCCCGCAGATGAAATTTTTGTAAAATGGCAATTTGAAGTGCTTATGTGATATTTGTGTTGATTTCAGAACCACTAAGTTGTAGTCTCAGTTGGGTTGTTTGAAAAATACTGAAATTGGCTCATGAATTGGATTTAATGAATTAACTTAAAGGGAATGGAAGGAAAATGGAGTGAGATAGGAAATTTGGCATCTTATAACCTTATAGAATATGAATGTTTTGTTATAAGCATTGTATATGCATATTGCACTTATATCTTTGTTAAGATTCATCTACTGTGTTAGACTATTTCTACTGGGTTTTGACTCACCCTATTTGGGAAAACCATTTTCAAGTGTTGGTGAAATGCCTCCGCTAAGGCAATAACTTTGAGGGACATTTGGGAACAAGAGCTTCTTTTTTTTGTTGCATTATTTTGTATAGCCGAGGGCTTTAACTATATTGAGTTAGGCTCATTTTTGTTGCAACCAAGCAACGACTTGGAAAGATGTAAGCCCGTAAGGTATATGATTACCTGTTTAGTTTTCAGTTCCCTTATCATTGTAACACATGCTGTAGATTTAGGATGAACAGTTTGTAAATGTATATCGCATATGTTATCTTTTGCATACAAACTCTGATGAATGAAAGCACCTTATTTCTGTAATCTTTTGCTTATGGGTTGTATTTATTGCATTACTTCGAGGGTGTTATACTATGGGTGTAATATAACTCTTCAAGAATTTGAATTATTTGCACCATAAAATATTTATGCCAATTGTGGTAAACCGCCTTATAAATCATTTAATTGGATTTCATTTTTCAATCTATTTAAATGAGGAGGGCATTGTTTGCACCACATTTTATTTTTCTGTCAATTGTGACCTATTAATTATGGCCAAGTTCGATTATGGTCTGTCGATTGAAATCATAAACTATTTTCAAAGAATAACCTTGATCACATTTGTTTTTATTGTTATTATTTTTGTCGATAAGCATGTTAACGTGGCATGACAGATTTGTTAAGGACATTGCATGATGACATGTTAAATAGAGGGCTAGAAAATTAGCAATTGTAGCAATTTGAAAGTTAGTTACTATGATCAAGGAGCCAAGATCAAGTCAAGTACCAAGTCTGCAAAATGGTTTCTATTAAACATAGAATATGGATAATGTTGAGGAAATCGTGGGCTTAGGCTATCTTTTTCTCTCACGTGGCTGAGCCTATAAATAGGCCAAAATAGATACAAAAAGAGATCAATCAATCAACCACTGCTCACAAATCGTGAAGAATTATTTAGAAGTAGCTTAAGTTAGCCATTTTAAGAGTAGATAAAGTAATTTTCCAAACCGCATTTCTTTTCTTCTGTCCATTGGTGTATTTTTCATTTCTTTGTTCTTGTTCAAGTTCTTATAATTAGTAACAAGTGACAATTTAATCGAATAAATACACATTCTATTTTGTTCCATTCCTTCTTTACTTAATTACCTCTAAGGAAGTCTTTAACCTATTTAAGGCATAGAACTCACCACAAAGTCTGATCTTTTATGTTTATTTTAAATCTGTTTAAGTCTGTCGATCAATCACTGTCGATTGGGTCTAAACAGAATTTTTGCTAACACCAGCAGTTGTCAATCTGTAAGAATATTGGCTGACATAATTTGATGCTGTGAACACCATTTGAGCACCTCCAAACATGCTTTGCCCCCGCCACTAGTGCTGAAGATGCTGTAAAAGAAAATTACTTCTTTATGATTGGATTTCCGTTGTAGTCCATCGCAACCCATGTAGCCCCATAAAACTTTAATTGCTTCCACTATAGCCTGCTCATCTGGTGCATTTCGAAACCACCACTCAATCCATTCCTGAACCAATAAACTTTGCCCAAATTCAAAATCCAGAGCCAACCGTGAACCCCTCCAAATGTGCTTGGCAAAAGGGCATTGAAAACAAATATGTTTCACAAATTCTTCTTCCTCCAAACATCTTGGGCATCGAATATCAAATTAATTAAAGCAACATTGGGAGGTAAAATTCTATGAATTAATTTCCATAGAAATAGAGCCCATTTCGCCAGAATTTGAAGGTTCCATAACTTCTTCCAACACCAACCGACCCCTATTCCTTGAACTTCAGAGAGAGACGGGGCAATTTTTGTGTATTTATATGACTTTTTTTTGGCCTAAATAACTTCAAAGTGAATATGTTAGCTTACTTTTAAACATTAAAGCTTTTAGATATTCAGAATTTTGTAGCTGAATATGAGGAAACACACTGACCCGTTAATTAGTGTCAATTAAAATATGTGAAGATGAAAACTTCATTTTGTGACATTTTTTTTTCTATAATTTTTTTTTTTATTTCATTGCAATAAACCTCTTATGATAGTTTTTTCATCGATACATTGTCACAAAATATTACAACAAATTAAGGTTTAGAGGCAAATTTAGGAACAAAATTACTTTGTAGGTATGAGATATATTAGTTACAAAAAATGTTTTTTTATTTTTTATTTTTTACGATGATATGAGTATTTAGTGACGAAATACTTCCCTTGTAAGATTCAATTAAGAATTTCGTGTTTTAAAAAAAAGCATATTTTTCGTTTTTTCCTTTTTTACATAAGCTCTATTTATATGTAATAAAAAAAAATCACAAAAATGATGTTATAAATAAGAGGAAATTTCATTTTACCTCCAAATTATATCTTAATGATCAATTAAACCCATGCACTTCTTATAATTTCAATTTTATACTTAAACTATATGATTTTAGATTAATTTTACCACAGTCGTTAACTACTGTTTATAATCAAAATAAAGTCGATGGTGTGACACCGAAATTTCGTTTGAAATTTCATGTTTATTTTGCCCCTCAAACTATTTTTAAAATACAAATTAGACCCCCAAATCTTATATTGTTTAAGGGTCTAATTAATATTTTGGGGATAGTTAAAGGGGTAAAATAAAATTTCAAATGAAAAACAACTGTTAGTGACATTTAATTACAAATAGTAGCTGATGGTAGGGATGAAATTGATCTAAAATTAAATAGTTAAGGTATAAAATTTAAATTATAAGAAGTACATTAATTAAATTGATCATCAAGGTATAATTTGAAAGCAAAATGAAATTCTCTACAAATAAAAAGCATCTTCGTGGGACCAGGCTTCAAATAGAGGATGATACCTTAAATAACAAAATTATTTTAAAGTTAAAGATCCATATTAAATTACATCATTTTATACAACTTCTTTTGCATCTGTCAACAAACAAAGGAAGCAAGTGCACTACTCAGAGCTTGTCTAGAAAAAATAATAATAATACGTCCAAACCCACCCGACGTCTAAACACACAAACATGCGTACAGAGCCACAGCAAGCATGACCCAAGAAAAAACAAGCCGATGTAAGTCTACCTAATAATTTGAAGACGATCATTCAGAGGACAAGGAATGCCCTTTGACCCGACTTTCAAACCGCCTTCACTAATAATTTGAAGGGGGGGGGGGAAATGATGGGGAGGAGAATGTGGTCAAAAGAAGTTATTTCTTCTAAAAGGTGAAAACTTTTCCTTTCTCTAATTTGTCCCCTCATTCAAACTTTTTAAAAATATTGTCTGACCCTCCATTTCAGGTGGGTGTCCGAAAATAGGACAGGTGTCTCACATATCCATAATGTGGCCAATGAAAATAATTAAAATTACATATATTAAGACATGGCCAGACGTTAACTACATGTGTCCATGTCTGCTCCATAGGACGTATCTGTGCTGCTTGGTTATACACACTACAAAAACACACTGCCAAAAACAGGTTAAAATGCAGTGGACATGGTATGATAACTATTTTGTTTTAACAACAAAATAACATAATAATCAAGTATGACTTGGTGTTCAAATATACTAGTACCAGAAATAAATAAAGGCTGCTAGCCAGACAAATTACTAAAATCTCTTAGTTGTATAGGTAAGTAATCAGTTATTACTGTGAAATGGAATTCAATGCAAGGTTCTCGCTTATTCAATGAAACACCATTTTATCACAAGTTTTGTGGGCTTGAACAGAGTGACAGTGCATCAGCTTTCATTCAGGCCAGGTAAGAGGGGAAAAATAAACTACTTTCTCTCTCTTTTCTTACCTCTTTGGTCTCCTCCTTTCTAAAAGAGGGCCTAGGACTCTTTTGCTCTTATTTGGTTCATTGAAATGAGAAGTAATGAAATGATCGTTTTTTAGATTTTTCTGTGGAGTGATCATTCCCTTACAATCATAAATGACAATTTCATTTGCAATGCATTTTTCATTATTTTTTCCATCAACCAAATATGAGAATGAATATTTTGACCGAGTAACCATTTCAATTTTATTCTAGTGAACCAAGCACTATCTTCTAGTTTATTTTTTTGATCCACAGGAGAGAAAAGGCTATACATACCATATTGCAATTGCATGTTGACATGAGATCTGACCTTATGGGGCTTATAAAAAAATATGCGCTCTGACCCTAGGGGATTCATGTCCCCAAAATAATAGGTCGAACAAAATCAACACAGCTTGTGCACATTTGAAAATCTTTTACGGCAAGCTTGAGAAAAGGCCTCTATCAAAAAAATTTCTGTTCATCATTATTATTAGATAAAAATTGAAATTTCACAACAGCTTAAATTTTATCAAGGTCATTTACATGATTTAAATTAAATTCCATATACTTCCACTTCTCAGCTTTCTCATGTTTGAATGAAAACTAAATTGGCATCCTTTGAGTTTAAATGGATTGAAAAAATCAACTTCAAATCAATAAGACTTCCGACAGATAGAAGCCATATTTTGAACATGTATCCTGTAAACAGTTCAGCACTCCCTTTGTTACCATGTACATATACACACATACACACATACATACATTTATGCATATATAATATTTATATATATTATGAAAGAAAGAAACTAATTGCAATAGTAGATGGTTAAATTTAAGAGTTTGTCATAGTTATCCTAATCGATTTCATTTTTAAGTGTCAAAGAGAGGAAGACCAACCTACAGAAGGTGTTGATCTTGCACAACCTGTTTAGCATAGGCCCTAACCTCATCTGGATCAATCTTGGATTGGGGGCGGACCAGAAAATCCATTGGCATTGCTTCAGGCCTTAAAGCAAGACGCATGGAAGATGACTGGCTAGACTTCGGTTCCCTGCACATCCCTCATAAATTTGAAGTGTTCAAATATATACATTCAAAACATGGTGCAAATCACCTATTTAATAAAATCAAAATTGACTGACTGACTAGGACCCAATGGATTAATTCTGTTACGACATCCTACTGTGAAAATTCAAGCAAATCAAGATCGTCATTTTTAGATTCCATTCATGAAGCTTTATTCATTGGCCTATTGAAAAATAAACAAGACATTTCTCACATGAGTAAGATTAGATATATATGGAAACAAGATCAAGATGGCTAAATCGCACAAAATACATGTGTAAGCAAATTGAACAAAGATAATATATACTTTTTCACAGATGGCCTCCGAAAGGGAACCTTTTCATCATCAAAGTTTCTCATGTCCTCAAACCGTGTGCTCTTATTGAATATTGGTCAACTTTGCATTTTATTTTCAAATTTTTAAATGATAAGGAAATATGAATATGAACGAGTAGAAACCATGTACCCACATCAGTTATTAAAAAAAAACTTCCGAGGTTCCAAACAATACCTACATACAAGGGTTCAAATACTAATCAAACAATATTACAAGGGGAGAGCAAAACAATATCAGAGAGCACATCTTCAAAACTCACAAATTTACTCAATGAAAATAGATCCCCCATGACCAAACATCATGCGAAGATAGTTCAGTACAAAATAAAATGAAACAGGAATGGCTCGGGATTTTCGTGACAATTTCATCAACATCTTGGAGAATAGATCTTGGGTTGATCATTGAGCAAGAAAGAAGTCTATCCACCACATGCACTTTCACACTATATGTTCTAGCAAAAAAATACCATAAAATTTATCCAAGTACAAAGGGGAACCATGAAGAGTGATCAATACATGTATGAGTGCCAAAAGTCAAAAAAATGTGTAACATTACCCATTTATCAACCAAGTCTTTGCCATTCTTCTGTTGGCTGTGGTTTCCTCATCAGACTTCAACAAAAACATAGTAACCTGCATAACACAAAAATTTAATATGCAGAGTTGTTCCTTCCACCACCAAGCCATAACCATTATTCATGTGTCAGTGTCACCTCATAAGGAGAATCCTGACCTTCCCAAGACCACTCTTCTTCAGTTGCTCTCTCCTATCATAATGCTCTAAATCAATGGGAAACTGCATGAAGTGCAAGACATAATCAGTACACACATAATTTTCATACATCTCACTAAAAGAAATGAGAAAAAGCTTTTTGTACATCAGTTAAGATCCTCAATATTGCCCCACAGATGTTTATATTTGGTAAGCTTCCATCTCGAGGGGGTTCGAGCGAGGTTTTTAGGAGAGTTAATACTCCATGATGAAGTTGTTTCCTTCACCAATCAACAGTTGATGTAGGAAACAAGACAAGAACCATAAAGAATAAAATGGAAACATGACGTCAATGAAACTAAAGAGAAAAAATCATCTTACTTTGAGAGAACAACCTCCATAAGGAGAGGCAGCCTTTTGGGTTTATTTATAGCAAGTTTTGACTGTCTAATCAATTCTGCATCTTCTTCAGCCACCACTTCAAGCTCAGCCATGACATTTTCAACAAGCAATGCTATTTCTGCAACACTCTTCTTTTTCTTGCCTAACTTGATAGTCATTATTAAGAAACCGACACAATTGGAATTGTCACAATAATAAATTTTAAAGAAAGATGAAATCCTAACCTAAGGAGCATCGCCAGGAGACCGTGGTTCATTATCAAATCCATACAGCTTTAGTTGCATGAGTTCCAGGCGCTACCCTGATATCCACCTGTAACAATAACAAGAGGTGTCAAGAAATAGAAAGACAACAAAATTCAATCAAAACCAATAGCAATTCTTGGATATTTCAATTGAAGTGAAGCACAAGTAAACCAAATTCAATTCAGCCCCCTCAAGTAGAAGTGTGCTTCCAGATTAAATCAAAGAGAGATGTGCAACCATATTATAAATGTAATTGATGATATACAACCAATTATAAACAGGAAACATTTTTTTAAAACCAATTATTAGCTTGACATCCGAGGAGACAAAGCCAACACTCCACAAAAAAGGAATTCAAAGTGGCTTCAGCAATCATGTTTAGAAGTAACATTTCCAAAACTTCCCCATTATATCTATATTACTCATCTCAAAATGACATCAACCTTGCTGAGATCAGTAGAAGTTCAGAAACATAGTTATAGTGAAGACCATTCCCTAATATTATCAATATAAGAGGGAAGTTCTCAGAACCATGGTTTAGAATTACTAACCTAGATATGCTTTATGGTTGCACTCAAATTTTAGGTAGCTACGATTTCTTAATTTCTATTTTTGCTTAAATCTGCGTCCATTTTTTATATCAGACGTGACTAAAGAAACCATTGAAGATATACTATTTTATCCACAATAGGATCCACTACAAACATTAATGAAACATATCATAACCATCTCATCTTCCAATCCTCTATTATGGGACTCATACAGAATATGTAATTTGTGAAGAAAGAGGTACCATCACAAAACAAAAGCTCATACCCTATACCACATAGGCAGGCTGCGCATGAATTTTACTCGCAAGCAAAGGCCAATCATCGTTGCCATACTGCAATGTTCAACTGTTGGAGTGAATGTCACCCTGAATAAATAAATAGATAAAAACCATATTTCATTTATACGAACTGAAAATTCCACCAATACAGGAGGATTTGTCTCTACCTCACACAGTTATGCTTGTCATCTACTTCAATTGCATCTTCTGATATAACTTTCAACTCTTCCAAGGAATAGGGACACTCAGGATCTTTTACGTCTCTAAGATGATGTAAGAATGTTACGAGAAGTACAGAGTTTCCAAAACTACTTAGCTCCCTTGTATAATTTGCTATGAAACTATATCTGTCATACTCGGATGTTAAGAATTAGTATCTAATTTTATTCAATAAATAAGTTCAAAACAAAACGACATGAAGAGCAAGAACAACTAGTTGCCATAAAAAATATAGTTTTGCTTCCAATGAAAAGACACACTTGTTTGATGAGAAGAACGTTGATAGTTTTGCTTCCAAGGAGAGTAGCATCTTCCCTAGAAATTCTCCATTAATTCTTTGACAAATGTATAGCTTTTATTTTCTTGTGCTTGTTTTTTTTTTTTTTTTTTTGGTTAAAGAGCCTTCTTTTACCCAGTGAATATTGCACTATATCTTCCTTTTGTACTTTCCTCCTCCACTTAGACAAAATTTTCAATTCCTTAACAGAAAACGTATTGTCATTCTTTTACTTTTTGTATATAGACACAATCAAATGTAATGCATATTGACTACAAATGTTAGTTGCAGTGAGATAGTCACCACACATTTATTAAATTTTATATTAAATTTAAGATGCATTTCAAGATCATTTCTATAACATGTCATTAGTATTCAAAAGTTTCTATGGAAGTTTTACATACTCATAAAAGTTTTGAACCACATAGCGGCACATGCTTCCTTACAATTGTTTCTGCTCTCTTTGTCTAAGAGATATGGACAAGCAACAAAACTTTGCTGAATAGGAACTTCACCCATGTAGTTCGATTTGATCAACATGTCTAAACCACATATTCCTTTCTAAATTCTAATACACTTACATACAAGTGAATTTTAATATCAACACCAAGCTTTGCAAAGAAACCTACGATTTGTGAGATATATAACTGACAAAACACAGTGGATATGACAGAGCATCAAATGTAATAATCAAACTCAAAGGATATTAAAAATTTCTAGTTGGTAAATGGGTTCCACAGCATACTTGTCGACATCATCCGGTGCAGTTCTAGTTCGATGCTCCTTTTTTTCATAGACAATGGAATTGGCATTGATTAAACCAGAAACCATTTTCCTCAGTCAGCCTGATGCAGTTTGCAGAAGCTCCACATAAAAAAACATTAAAAACTATTGTCCATGCTCAAAACTGACCAAATTGAAGCCAAATTATTGCATAAGCATTGAACACTATTGTCCCCTTGTTCATAAATCATAGGATGATGTGCAAAAGGAAACAAAATAACAATAAATCAGCAGATTACATATTCAATTCCAATTGAAATTCTTCGCAGCCTAAATCTGCTTAACAATTTGTCCTTTATTATAATACATGATCACTCACCGATACATCATTAACCCCAAATTGTAAATAACGGCATGTTGAAGCGGGGATATCTAATGACTTCGATAATCAACTCATAGAAAAAAAAGAAGAAAGAAAGAAGGAAAAATTACAAAAGGAAACTAGAGTTTGACTCTTGCAACAAATTAAAAACTCAGTTTATTTTTTTTTAAGGGTCAAACCATAGTATTTTTTTTTTTTTGCAATTTCCCCAAGAAAATCACTTTGACTTATTCTACTAGATAGGGAAGGTCAGTCCCTTCTCCAGTGGAAGAAAGTAGATGATCACGCAGGGTGAATGAATCAAAGAAAGGGAATACTCTGCTTGAGAGATTGAATTCTGCAAGTTCAAGTGTCCGTGCATTGGAGAAAGACAGAGAGAAGACTAATTCCTTAATATCTTATTCTGCTCATTCTCTATATAGATCTTAGTTAGCCTTTTAGGGATTCTTTAGGATATGCCTGATAAGAATAAGAAGAAGACAATGCCATTAACTGGTTTCATCCTCAATTTTGGTTGCCTCATCCATTACCATGGTTTCATTCATGATTTTCAACCCATATATGCAATGTTTATTTATTTATTTATTTTCCCAAATTGACAGCGCAACTGTTGAAAAATTTTATTTCTTTCTAAACAATCCTTTGACAACCCTTAAGATTATAAATATTTTAATATTTTGTGCATCTTATTGACAACCCTTAGAACTACCATTAGTAGGACGAACCAACCACGAGCTATTTATGAGCGATTCGGTTTGTTTGTAGAAAGTTTTTGGCATTAGGTAGAAAGAGGGAAAAAAATAATGGGAAAATTATAAATCAATGGTGCCTTCACAAAATATTTACAATTCATAAAAATGTTTATCATTTTAATTATTACACTTGATAAAATTTATCAATGATTTAATTTTATTTTTGAAAACATGAGCTGAATTGCAATTTCTTGTAAAATTATCAAATATACTAGTACACAATGCGATTGTGTGTATACCCATTTTCCACATGAATCCATGATCATGTTGTCTCATTTCTCCAACAAAGTGGTTACATTACTGATCTCTCATATGGGAGTTCAGGTCCTCTAGAGTTCCTTCTCTAGAGTGATCTCTCTACAGTTCAATCCAATGGCTAAAATTAAGAAAAATCAAAATGACGTCATTTTGATTAAGTCTGAAAAAACAAAAACAATGTAGAACGAAGAGAGAGACGGAGAAGGGACCCCTCCTTTCCCTCTCAATCGACAAAGGGAGTCCTTTGGTGGTGCAAGAGATTGAAGATTCCTTGGTGAACCGAAAATTTTCTATTTCCTGATGTAGTTGCCTTGTGTGTTTTCGTTGTTTTGCTATTATTATACTAACTTGTAGTTTGGGATTTTTTACTAGAAGATTGTTGCTAGCATTGTGTTCTTATTTTTTCAACACTTTCTACTAGTAAATTTTTGCTTTCTTCATAATAAAGATTATTCATATTTCCCATTAGCTTTATACATTGATTAAGATTTAATTTAATCTATGATGAGAGTGAAATCAAAATGAATGAAACATTTTTTCCGTTGCTCAATAATTTATATGAGAGATATTGGTTAGTTTTTGATGTATGATAACTTCATAATCCATCATAATATGGGCTAAAGCTTTTTTTGTTTTTGTTGTTCTCTTTTAGCTTCTATGGCATCAGTGTTTTGGTTTGAGCCAAGCTCTATTATGTACAACAGATTTACTTGAGAGCATAAACCAAAAAATGAAACTATGACAAAACTAGATAGCGAAGCCATACATATAAACATATAGAAACCTTGACTAGTTATAAATATTTGATGACAATGCCACAAGTACAACCACTTTCATGCCTTTTCTAGCTCAACAATTATAGATTCAGAAAAGAAAAGAGGGGGGAGAAGAAAAGTGAAGGAAAGAAAATTCTAGAACATCAAAATAACCTATAGATGTGGCTTTAGTTAAGAATCATTTCTTCTTCCATCCTAATGCCTTTGTCCCCTAACCCCAAGAAATGCATTTCTAATCTTGTGTGGTTCTTTGAGAACATCTATCACACTCATTCTTTCACTCGACATTTCAGCAGAACATGAAACTCCAATTTGAAAGACTAGTACTAGGCAAGCCTCTAGTTTAGAAATGTTGGTTGTACTACTTTCAATGCTCCTACTTGGCTCCTCTTCCATTTCCAATATGATTTGAGGATCAACGATCTGCATTACTTGTTCTGGAAGACACATTTTTACATAGCTATGGAGGATTACATTACCTGTAAACATGTTACTAGTTGGTTCTTTTCCTGTGAACATTTCTAGTAGTAACACTCCATAACTATACATATCACCTTGCGTTGATACCTCCTCACCCATACCATACTCTGCAATATGAAATGGTGAAAAAAATGCCCACAAAATTTTGGTATGATTGTTGAACTAGTAAGTTGTATTTCTTTTGCTGAAAAAAAAAAAAGAGTCCAACATTTCAAAAGATAAAATTATCTCAAGGGTTAAAATCTATGTTCAAATATATTAGGGGTAGGACAATGGTTGATTTAATTTGTTGTGGTAGCTAAACAAACAATAAGGCAAAGTCAAGGAAAGTCATCTAAAACATGGCTTAATTTCTATATAATCTCGTAATTGGTTTTTAGCTCACCGCAAGATAATAATATAATGTAACTAAATAATATTTCTTAATCAATTTCAATGTAAGAAGCAATAAACAATTACCTGGGGCAACATAGCCAATTGTTCATCTGATCCCAATTGAACTTGATTGCTGATGCATAGAAATTCCATTGGTTGCTGAAAAAATCTTTGCCAAGCCAAAATCACTAATATGGGCAGGCAAATCACCGTCAAGAAGAATGTTACTTGGCTTTAAATCACAATGAATAAAAGCCATTTCACAATGATGATGAAGATAATCCAATGCACATGCCACATCAATGGCAATGTTTAGCCTTTGAACAAAGTTCAAGTTCTTAGGTTCATGTTGCTCTAAAAGACTTGGGTGTAACCAATTTTCTAAGCACCCTTTTTCCATGAATTCGAAGACCAAAGCCTTGAAGTTGTTGCCTTTAAAATCAATGCTTGAGCAAGTTGTAATTATCTTGACAAGATTTCGATGGCGAATGTTCTTCAATGCTTCACATTCTGTAACAAAACTCTTGTTCGCTCTACGTTCGTGTAGTTTGAACACCTTCACAGCAATAATTTGTTCACCGGAGTTGAGAATCCCTTTATAAATAGAACCGTGTCCTCCCTAACCAATTAAGTTGGATGGAGAGAACCCATATGTTGCTTGAAAAAGTTCTCCATAAGAGAGTTGTGGATGTTGGTTTTTCAAGGGTGAGGCTAAACTGACTTGCTGCCTTGACCTTCTGTTCCGGTAAAGAACAGCTAGAATGCACAATGATAATACAACAATAGTGAAAGTAACTACTAGAACTATTACTCTATGGTTGGAAGGTCGTTTCCTTTCATTTAAGACTTTAATCGAGCATGCAGGCAATTACAATAGTTTAATTCCTCCGCATAGTTTACTATTTCCAACAACTGAGAAGGCACTAATGTTTGTGAAAACTCCTCCATTCGGAACTTCACCATCAAACATATATGTAGGAAAGATTGAGATATTGAAAGAACCGAAATTCCCCGAGAAACCTTGGAATTTGTCCAAACAAGTTGTTCCTAGAAACATCTAGTTCTTAAATACCTTTCAATTGTCTAAAGGCCATCGGACTTGTACCTTCGAAAAGATTACCATCGATGTAGAGGAATTCTAAAACTCCACAATTGCCGAGAGTGGCAGGGATTTCTCCAAATAGTTTGTTTTTTGATACATATAGTCCACCTAGATTTTTCAAGTTACCCACTTCTTGTGGTAGTTGTAACGCCCTCAAAATAATAACATTAAAACCCATCAACATAGACATGCATTGGTATAAAAGATAAATATTCTTCTATTCATCAGAGTAGTTCCTTACAAAAGTATTACATGTTAACAACAAAAGCAAGTGCCCTACGGGCTTACAGCTTTCCAAGCTAACACTTGGTTACAAAAAGAAGAATACTAACTCAATACGTATAAAGCCCTTGGCTTAAATTTGCATGTAATACACCAGAAGGAAATAAACAAAACAATCCGCCTGCCTCTAGCCTCCCAAGCTATGTCCTTGGAGGTGGCATGTTACCTGTACCTGAAAATGATGTCCCATAAAGGGTGAGCCACAGCCCAGTAGAAATACACTAAACCAGCCATGAACAATGACTAAAAGATTAGCAGTTGATAGATGGTCAACACAGGTACATTTGCATATATCACATTCCGATTTCATGACATTAAGTCCATGTTACATTTCATTTCTCATTTCTTTTTCAACCTTGAGTTTGAAAACAAGGCTCAAAACTTAGCCAAATAACTTGATGAGAATAAGACTCGTCTCAAAATATTTTCGAAATTCATGGTGGATACACATTGTGATGCTGTATCAATAACACATAAGTCGCTTCCATACTATACGAGCGATACACATTTTGGTGCTGTATCAACATAACATAGAAACACTTCTATACTTCACAATTGATAACGATATACATTTTAGTGCTATATCAAATCAAAACAAACACTTCAAATTCGCAGTCTGATACACATTTTAGTGCTGTATCACTGTCACAAGAAAACACTTCTAATTCGCAGCCTAATACACATTGTAGTGTTGTATCACTGTCACAAGATTCGGTTTAGAGGTTCAGCCCCTTTCTTCCAATAAACCGTGGAGTACAGCCCCTTTCTCCTCCCACACAATACAATGTATGTAAACAATTATCATATACAAATTAAATCAATCAATACACATTTGAGTGCTGTATTGTACCAACTACCATATTCAATGGCTTACTCAATTGATTAGTTTTAGTTTGCCTAATCATCATGCATTGTCTACAACAATCAAGGCTATCCTCCACCGATAGCCCAAAGCAGTTATTTCTATATCGAAAATAGATGCACCAAATGGGTACATAATCAACATTTCAACGTTCTCAGTTTAATTCTTCTTTTCTTCAAATTAATTATACCAATTAATTCATCAATGTAATTAGAGCATTTCCCATAATTAACATCACAACCCTAAGGTTCCATTTTCACTAATAAACCAATATTGATCCCATTTCTCTATGACAAACATGCATATAAGTTTATATAAACAAAACCCCAACTTTTGTAGAATTTACACAAAGGCCCAAACTTTCTCAAAATTACCCAACAACCCCCAACTCATCAAAATACTAAAATTCAAAGGCAAAACTCATGAGAAGGAGTAAGATATCCTTACCTCGAAGTTTGAGCTCAAATGAGGAAGGAGAAGAAAGTGACAATGCTCCAAACACTACGATTCTCGGATCAAAACGAAGCCCTTGACGATCAACAAACTTTTTACAAAGGCCGAAGGATAGAGTGACACTCTAACTAGATCAAACCCTAGAGAGAAGGGAGTTTCTAGAGAGAGGAGCTCTCAAAATAGCTTTTTAGAGAGTAAGAGAGAGAGAGAGAGAGGATGTAAAAAGTGATTTTAAAATGCCCAGCTGCCAACTGATATACGACATTCCCGCTCGAGCGGAGAACATAACGCTTGAGCGTAAAGAACAAAAAACTAGGTACGCTCGAGCGCAAGAAGGCCCGCTCGAGCGCCAAGACACAAGAATAAAGCACATCTGCTCGAGCGCGAAAACCAGTCCGCTCGAGCGTAGATTTCCCCCTCCCAGAACTTACACCAGAAAGTACTACCCGCTCGAGCGCCACCGCTCCAGCGTAAAGAAACCCGCTCGAGTGTAAAAATCACACCTGCAGAAGTTTTTCAGGGACACGAAATACTGGGAGTGTGCACTTCCCGCTCGAGCGCAACAAGGCCCGCTTGAGCAGAACGACCAAAAACCTGGCAACAAGATTTCAGACCAAGGTTCAACCCACCTGTTCGAAACATGCCTAACATATCCTAAAACTCAAACAAATGGCATTAAAGGACAACAACAAGATAGATACAACTACCAACTCCACGGAACCGAGTCCGGAATACAACAGAACAGTAAAGGGACAACCGGGATCGCTATAACCTTCCTCCCTGAAAGAATTTCGTCCCCGAAATTTAATACAAGTTTTTGAAAAACAAGATTTTCTCAATTCCCAACATTATCAAAATGCGAATTTTTTTAACAATTCGACCCATTACCGGTCATCTCATCTCTTTTCAAGAGGCAGTTTGCAACATTTTCCACAACATGCATTATAGTTACACATTCCTTGAAATTCCACGAATTTCAATACTACATTCCATGATTCTATATCATATTCAGTATTCATGATATATTTTCATTTCTACAATACATTCAACATATGCAATGTTACATTAAACTTCCATTTTGAGGCAAGTTTCAAAATACTTCCATTAAATCAAAACATAAACCATGTTTTACAACCTAAGATACATTTAATACTCTTAAGGTTCAACAATATTACAAAATTACCAAAGCATGGTTACACATAAACAAACAAGTCTGGATATTTCTCGCAGACTCCCAACTCACGTTCCCAAGTGGCCTCCTCCACTCCATGATGTTTCCACAAGACTTTTACCAAGGGAATGGTCTTGCCTCGCAAGACTTGATCTCGCTTATCCAAGACCCGAACCGGTCTCTCTTCATACGAGGCATCCTCATCAACCTCTAAGTCGGTCCAATCCAATACATGCGATGGATCTGGCTCATACTTTCGAAGCATACTCACATGAAACACGTCATGCACTCCGGACAACTGCGGCGGCAAAGCTAAACGATAGGCAACCTCGCCAATCCTCTCAAGGATCTCAAAAGGGCCAATAAACCAAGGGGATAACTTCCCACTCTTCCCAAACCTCATCAATCCCCGCCTAGGTGATATCTTCAGAAAGACATGATCACCTACCTCAAATACCGAAGGTCGCCTCCTACGGTCGGCGTAAGATTTCTGACGACTCTGGGCTATGACAAGCCTCTTACGGATAAGCTCAACTTTCTCCATCGTCTCCCTAACCAACTCTGGACCCAACAAAGGTGCATCACCCACCTCGGCCCAACACACTGGCGACCTACACGGTCAGCCATACAAGGCCTCAAACGGTGCCATACCGATGCTAGACTAAAAACTGTGGTTGTAGGCAAACTCCACCAAGGGCAAGTGCCTCTCCCACGTCCCACTAAAGTCAAGGACACAACCTCGAAGCATATCCTCAAGGATCTGAATCGTACGCTCGGACTGCCCGTCAGTCTGAGGATGATAAGCCATACTAAAGGTCAACTTAGTGCCCAAGGCACTCTGCAAACTCTGCCACAACCTAGCAGTAAAACGAGGATCTCTATCTGAGACGATTGTCACTGGGACCCCGTGCAATCTCACTATGTCCCGAATATACAAGTCGGTGAGATGATCTACCGAATCTCTCACGCGCATAGGAATGAAATGCGCCGACTTAGTTAACCGGTCTACAACCACCCAAATGGAATCACTACCCCGCTGAGTCCTCGGAAGACCTACAACGAAGTCCATAGTGACATGCTCCCACTTCCACTCGGCAATAGGCAAGGGTTGCAACAAACCCGCTGGCCTCTGATACTCGGCCTTCACTTGCTGGCAAGTAAGGCACTTCGATACGAAAACAGCCACATCTCTCTTCATACCCCGCCACCAAAACTGGCGACCCAAATCCCGATACATCTTAGTGCCTCCCGGATGCACCGCAAGGCGTGAATGATGGAACTCTCGGAGTACTTCCTCTCGGCAAGACTTCGGTACAAACAAATGGTCTCGGTATCTCACACTCTGGTCGGGATACACCGTCACACCCTTCTCAACTTTCCCACTAGAGATCTTCTCTCGGAAGGACTCTACCTCAAGGTCACCTCTCTGTGCCTCTAATACTCAGGTCACAAGTGTAGGCTGTGTAACAACAGAAAACAAGGCCGTAGCCTCAACAGATTCGCCCAGTAGCAAATCAAACTCGCTAAGTGCACCCAACATCTCCCATTCCCAGATGGCTATACAAGCTACATCACTAATGGATTTCCTACTAAGGGCATCGGCCACAACATTGGCCTTCCCCGGGTGATAGTGCAACTCAAAATCATAGTCCTCAATGAACTGCATCCATCTCCTCTGCCTCAAATTCAAGTCTCTCTGTGTAAACGGGTACTTCAAACTCTAGTGGTCCGAGAACACCTCGAACCTCTCACCATAAAGGTAGTGCCTCCAAATCTTCAAGGCAAAGATCACTGCTGCTAACTCTAGGTCGTGTGTAGGGTAATTCTTCTCGTGTATTTTCAACTGACGTAAGCCATAAGCTACCACTTTCCCCGCTTGCATCAACACACAACCCAAACCCTCTCGTGAGGCATCACAATAGACTGCATAACCCAACCCTCTCTCCGGAATAATCAAAACCAGAGCGGTGGTCAATCTAACCTTCAACTCTTGGAACGACTTTTCACAAGTCTCACTCCATACAAATTTGACTCCCTTCCGAGTCAACCTAGTCAACAGCGAAGCTAACCTGGAGAAATCCTTCACAAATCGGCCGTAATACCCAGCTAATCTCAGAAAACTGCGGATCTCAAACACACTCTTAGGTTGTGCCCAATCTTGCACTGCCTCTACCTTGGATGTATCAACAGACACCCCTTCCCCGGATACCAAATGGCCTAAGAATTTGACCTCTCCTAGCCAGAACTCACACT